TCTGCTCTTCACGTGCATGCCTCCGCTTGCACACGCCCCTAGGTGCTAACACCTCCACCCCCACCCCCACACACATACAAACCCTTGCGCAAATAAAGAAATGTTTTTCAAGGTCATATCTAACATTACTTACACAGTGTATGTATGAAATTCTTTGGATTAAAATTTGAAGGAAAAAAGCTACCAGGATTCGGGAGAAAAAGCACCACTCAAAACCACAATTTGACCCATGGCATTGTAACCCTTTTCACATACATCTCAAATGACATTAGAACATGTGCAAACAAGCAACAGATTGCAACTGAACCCTGACACTGCTTGGTTTCTGTGTGTGTGTGTGTGTGTGTGTGTGTGTGTGTATGTGTGTGTGTGTGTAGTTAATCAAATGTACATTTAAGCCCATAGATGGTGGAAATCTGTAATGTTCCATGTGCCAGCATGCATCTCTGAGATTAGGTTGAACACTTCACAGGTTCCCTCCACAAAGTACATTTCAATCAAGAAGTAAAAATATCAGTCTCATAGGGGAAATAGAGTCAGTAGAAATTAAGAAATAATGATTCAGTGCTTTATTACAGGTATGTTATACTTCAGGACAGAGGGGGAAATGATCATTTAGATTTCCTCAGTGTATGCCTTCTTATTCCCTCAAAACATAGAATTGTAGAAATGAGGCCTGCGCAGTTCAGATGAAGAATTAAATTCTTCAAATAAAATAGCAACATACAGTGAAAGACACTTATATATGCAACATTGAACAGGACTTGACTAAAGGAAGAGAGGAAACATGTTTAATCTTTTCACAAAGAGGGCTAAGACGTTGACACAGAAAAGAGCATTGAAGATAAAATCATGGTAACAGTTACTGTTCTTAACAAATAGGATATAATTTTGTAAAATAATGAGATTATAATACAAGGAGTCGCTGATAAAACTGTTACAGCAGAAAATGGATAAATCATTAAATATAATGAGATTTAACTATCACTGTGAGAGAAATGATATGTAATTAGAAAAAGGAACAGAATATAAAAAGAAAGCCGTGTTTCCATCCATGGTTCCACATTCGTAGGAGTCTGGTAATAAAGAGGAAATTATCTGAGTCTGTTAATAAATTATAGACACCATTTTCAGTAATTACAATAACAATAGTCCTTCTAAATCCAAGCTTATGTCCTATCAACCTTTCACTTTATTTAACAAACACCTGTGTAACACTCTGTGCACAGAATTGCACTAAACATTCGATAAATATTAACTCATTATCCATGATTAAGTTTGAGGCATTCATAGGGTAATTCAGCAAACCTCTCCAGTGCTTTAGGAGGCTCACAGTAGACATGGAAAGGCAGAGGACATGGTCTCTGCCTTTGCAACGAATGATTCAAGTTTCCTATGTAAGATAAGGTGTTTGCCAAACTGAAAAGGAATTGGTTTATGGTAATAAGTACAAAAAGTATGACTTGGGGGAAGAAGAAAGGCTAGCTTTATCTGAGGAATCAGTCTAGGCTCTGGGGAGCAGCAGGTTAAATTGACTGCCATGCTCAGCGAGAGATGGAGGAGATGTCTGCCGAGCCGATGAACACGGATGCAGAGGGAAGAAAGAATGGGGCTTCAGTGTCAGCCCAGGTTGGTTGAATCTTAGAAGTCTTGAAGGAGAACAGCAGGTTATAGAGTGAAGTCATGTTGCAGATACGACTATTAGGAACTGATAGTAAAGTCTCCTTTGGGAACAATGGAAGGTGGCGTCTGGCTACTCTGTGCTTGCTAGTGAGCCCTCGGCTCTGTGCTGTGTCAACCCAAAGCATGGCTGCCTTATGTCACATGTCCTGCAAAGAGGAGTTTGAGTTAATCACAGGGTGGTGGCCTACCCTTAATAGTAACTATGAGAAACACCTCAATATCTTCTCATTTATAGGCTTTTATTGACATACATAAAACGTATTCTGAAAAGGTCTAAGAGTTAGTAAATGAATCGTATAATACATGTCTGGACAAGTGTTTTTTAGAAATTAAGCTATTAAAAATGTTGGTATTAATTTATAGATTTCCCAGAAGTGTGGGGGCAAGAAACGAATAGAGAGCAGGAAGAATGCACTGAGATATTGTCT